GATTTGCTTTTATCTAATCGACATAACTATCTACATAGATAATATGATTGTCTATAACTCGAGTCAATTTTAGAAGTTACTACAAAATATAAAGGATAAAGGATAAAGCTCTCGGCGTTGATCAGTCCCTTAGGGATGCGCCATGCATTCGACTTCATTAAGCATTGTTTGGAGGTGATTGAATGCATATCTGGCCTTTACAACACCTCGAGGTGGTTTACCGATGTATTAAGCCAGTGCTGCTATCCTTTCAGACAGGTCTGGTACCAATTCACCGACCCCAGAGAGATGAAAGGCATGGTGGTTACGGGGCACAGGAATCGTTCCCATATGTATTGTAGGCCGCCTCTGGCCACTGCCCCACACGCGCCCAATAGAGAATGTAAGTCAGAATTTTAAAAGAAAAAAATGAAACGGTCACAGAACAGTAACAATTAAGAAGAATGAAATCAGTGGCATGATATCCGGTGCTGACCAGATGAAAAACTCTTCACTCCTTGGCCTATTGCGCCACCTGCACCGACTGCATTATCCTAAGTGGCATATGCCGGCGTCAACCAGGTCTCCGCCCGTCCCTCTCATGTATCTGAATTTCCAAGCGGGCTCAGGTTGCTGTTTAAAAAACACGAAGAGTATCGCACACTTAGATTCTATTGAGTGAGCTTATATGGCCGAGTGTAGCACAACAGATGAAATTGTCGTATAATACACACACGGCCTTTGCTCTAATCTCACACCTAGGGTTAACCCAGCTACATATCCCACTGGGGCTCGTACATTGAGACCAGAGTTGTCCAGAAAAATAAGAACGCTCATTTATACATCAGCAGCCTGTGCAAATCATTTTATAGGCCACATATTTCTTCAATTACCTCTAACATTCGACGTATGGAGTGGCGCGGATGACACATCGCTGGGCGATTGGTGAACACTGGACACTTTATCCTTTACGTATTAAACGCATATAATGATGAGCTTTCCAGATGTTTTTCGGCAATCGAAAATCAATTGTGCTAAAGTGCAGCAGTAGTGTTCGATCACTAATATAAACTCGTGTGATTCGATTGCTGTAAACTGACGGTGATGAAGTGCAACTACTCATCTTTCACATCTGGCCAGCACGGCAACGATCACACCTTGCCTGCCCGTTAGGTGCCAGGTTGTTGCTGTCGTCTATGCCGATAAGTTACAGCAGTTTAGAAAAATAAAGGATAGAGCTTTGTCGTGTCGGCGTTGCTATCCTACCAGACCGCCCTATGATTAATTACCCTACCCCTGATGGAAGGAAGGCTTGGTGAGCCTGGAGTGGATATCGAACTCATGTGTATTACAGGGTCTCTCCAACCGCTCCACTACTAGCGCCCTAAGCGGCAGCAGTAATGTGAATTTTTTCTGACTTTGATGACTTGCATTGATAAGAAAAAAGAATCGTTAAACAGTCGTGGTGGTAACGAAGGAACACAGATATTTATAGAAAACTGAAAAGACTGGCTACCGTATGGGAAGGACTTTGATGCGATCCTGATTTTTGTTTTGTCTAATAAAAGTTAATTAGAGAGCTAACGTTGTATGCCTTCGATCTATCAACAATTCATCAAGAGAACGAAAAAATGGCCAGAATGGGTGACATCGCTAAGTCGAAAGACTTTCGAAGGAGTCGTCCTTTCTTTCTTTCCAAATTTGAAGACGAATGCGGCTAAGAACTCTATGTGTTTTAGCACCCATAGTGCGAGCCTGATGGAAAACATTCAATCTATTTACATGACTAGCTACTGAGGAGAGGTTTAATGTTCCGTCTCGCATCACCTGTTGTCATTCATGTTGGTCGTTAACCGAAGCAAATTGACGGCTACTATCGTAACCGTTCGTCCAAGCAACGTTCTACTTCTCGTGGGTTCTTAAGCTCTTATTAGAGAGAAACGAGATCAGAGAACTGGTCTGTAAGTGTTTTGCAAAAGTCCGAACACTGATAATTGACAGAATATGTTCAAACTACCCCATTGCCTTTTAATCAATAGAATCACTTGCGGCCTGAGTAGTTCACTGTTTTCTTGACGAGGTGTGAGGTTGCTATTGTATTATTTATTTACAACAGCTGATATTTCGGAGGATTTCGCATACTCCAGAGCCCATAAAGGTAAAGTCGATTGCAATCTAGTAAGCCAAATACTCCCGCAAGCTTAAAAGAAAACCCAAAACCTAAATTTGAATCGCATTGGAAGAGACGTATTTGGTCAACCACTGCTTTCTATGAGTTCTGTACTTATTCTTATTATTGATGGAGGCCTACCTTTGAGATGTTTAGGTTTCGGCATTTTCTGTTAAGGTTACCGGAGTATTCCACTAACTAGGCTGTACACCCACTTGATCTTTTCAAGCTTTGAAATAGGCAAAATCTGTCGATACACCAATTACTGAATGAATGAATCGTGTAACAATAGTAAACACATAGATTTTCTAGTGAAAGATGCGGTAAATCAATAGCGAATGGTTAGTATAATAACAATATTGTGTCTTTTCATCGAGAAAACAGTGGATCATTGATCAATACTAAGGTTAACAGAAAGTCAGTTTTGGAAATTCCTGCTGATTACTTCCCTTTGAATGAAATGGATTATACACCCTGGTCAGGTATAAACACATACTCGTATCCGGATTGTATAGGCTCCGAGTGCAGGGGTGTATCACAACGTCACCTTCGTGCACGAGTCGATCCAGACAATCATCTGCGTTGTGATTTGAACAGTTCCGGCTACTTTTCAAAAAATGGGTGCTATCCGAGTTCATCACTTTTTTCTTATTGATGGGCATAGTTATCAAGGGTTGAAAAGAGTGCACAAGAAGGAATGGACTTAACCTTCATTCGACACAACTGCAGCGTTTGCTACTCTCTTGCTGTATATGTATCGCCTCGCCACTACTATTAATTTCGCGAGAGCGGCCGGTCCGCCTAAACTTCACTGGAGCTCGATCGCATTGCGCATCGAAATGAATATGTATGGTCCGCACGCCCGCCCAAAATGTACTGCGCACCCACTCTGTGCCTTTTCAAGTTCTACGTGTCATCTAAAAAAATCGTCTATCGTTTAAATGCTATAGCACTACTGGCCACTGCACTACTACTAGTATTGTAGTTTTAAGTACCGATAGCTTCTCGCATAGATGAGCCGGTTACATAATGAGAAGAGCCGACGACAGATGGACGATAAACACAGTAGAGTGGACTCCAAGAGAATGCAAACGTCTCCTTGGACGACCACCTACACGTTGGGCGGACGTGTTCGTAAACAAAATTAATCAGCTGTACCCGCAGCTGCAGTTGTTTTACAGATCACGGTATGAGACTCGCAAGCGTTGCCATGCTCGAACAAGACCAGCACCATGGACTACGGTTGCTAGGGAAAGGAACGAATGGCATATGTGCTGGAGTCCGCACAGGTCGTGAGGCCGGACCGTCCAAGTATCCAAGTAAGTAGCTTCTCGCATGGTTTTGCACGATATTTAAAGTTTATTCCCGCCTCTCTTTCATATTTTTTTTCATCTCCACTAATTCCACTCTATTGTCTGAAAATCTCTTTCAGCGAGAGCGCATTCGGAACAAGCACCATCGGCTTGGACCACCGCATTATCAAGTCAGCCATCGGAATACTATCGATTTGTAAAATATAACTCGTATATTATGCTGAGATAATTCAATGTTTTTCATCAATAAGCAGACACGAGGTTGTTAATATAGAATTTATTAGAACACAATTGCTGACGTTTCGGCGGCTTCGCCTTCCTCAGAGCCTGGAAAGGTCAAATTGAGATGCGATCTACTCAGCCAAACACTTTCATAACCCTAGCAGATAAAACTTGATAAATCGATTTGTATTCGCATAAGAAACAGCTTCATTCAAACACCTACCGTTTATTTGTTGTAAGTATTTAAGTTAGTTGGTGGATAGGCGCCGCACAGAGTAATACATGGTCGATAACTGGGTCCATGTCAGATCATTGGATCAGCCTGAGGTATGGCGCTAGGTCACGCGTGATGACAAGACACTCCTCCTTGCGGTTCATTTTTGAATTTTTGGCATTGATCCAAAACGCTTCAAGAGTTTTTCGCGCTGATGTTTTCGATTCCTGCGTAAGGATATGCTGAGATATTTGCAAAACTCTGGACCGCAGGTGTATGCGATGGAGAACGAACACGCGCTGTTGTCCTTACCGGGGAGCAGCGCACTTCACCACCACACCATCCGGGTCCTTCGTTTTGCCTGTCTCTTAGCTAGTTCTATCGATTTGTTACAGAAATTCTGGCAAAAAAGCTCTGTGCGGCGAAATAACCCGGCGAAAAAGGGTGCGCATCGAATTCAATATGTACGGTCCGCAGAGTGCCCCAGTATACATAATAAAATCTGTGTGCATAGTCGCGATAGTGTTAAATAAAACGTTCACCACTGAAGCAGTCGCTAATAATCGTAGTTTTTAACTAACTCTTTAAAGTTCATTTGCTTTTGCTAATTTACATTGACAGCAACAAGTGCTGCACTAATAGTGATAGAGGCTCTCTTGAGTCAATCCATCCTCGAATTCAAACCTTGCGATAGCAACCATATATCCCCGGAGTTAAGCATTTGCTAATATTCTGCTAAGAGTTCTTCATCAGAGTGTTCACACAACTCTGTACCACAATAGAGCTTAGCTCAATTTTTTATATGTCTGCATCAGAGAACCAAATACGAACTTTTTCACCTCTAACCCAAAATGTCAAATAAAAACTCTTTTATTGATTATTTACACAATGACAAAACCTCAAGTGAATGACGAAATACCCGAGAATGGGAAGCGATGGTTATGAAAGTAGGAACAAACGAAACTATTGCAATGAATGGAAAAGTGCACACAATATTTGAGCTACATATTCGACTTATTGGCGGAGAATAAGCATACAAATGATCAATGTTGAGATTCGGAATGAGTGGCAAGCGTACAACGAGAAAACGGACATCAGAGATTCAGCAATAAAATGTAAGGTATGGTACTTTGTGTCGCCACTGAGCTGGATGTCCTCGCATATTCCAGCCGAGTAAATTCACAGCTCTTTGATCCGACGTGAACACGTCTTCATCAGAACGATAGGGCTCCGAATGCAGATTAACCGTACCGTCACATTCGTGTGTTGATCCGTCCTTCTGAAATCTCGTCGATGTTGGTTGAACAAAAAAATCATCGCTAGTTGAAGTTTTGTCTTCAGATTGACTATAACTCAATTTTCGAAGTTAATTAGTTAAAAAAGAATTAAGGAAAAAATCTACATCGATCACTAAACAGTGGAGACAAGTAAAATTGTCGATGAACACAACATTAATAAGACTAGCAATTCAGAAAAAACTAGTATAGTTAGATTATAATAGTTAACAGTCTATGAGTGCAAGGGCTATGCTTTGTATTTAAAAGCTAAGCTTTCGATTACGAAGTACTGCGCAGTAAATCTTGGCTATAACGGAACGAGTAGGACTGTTACTTACTTACTTGATACTTGAACGGCCTGTGCACAGTGGTTGTGTGGGCCCCAGCATATCTCCATTTTTCGGTGATTTGCTGGTCAAGATATTGTGGCTCTCTGGAATCCCAAGTTCAGCCTGGCCAAGGTCTGCCTCAGGTCTTCACCACCACAAGCATTCGCAGCGGTAGTGGATCAGAGGGGTAGGATTGTTACTTCTGCGAATTTGATAATTAAAATGAGTTGCAAATAGTTCCATTCATTCCTACAACAAGCATCTTAGTGGCTCGAGTGTCTCCAGGAAATAACAGATTTAGGGTAAAATCTCTATTGGCACTGTTTTTTGCTAGGGAGCACACAGTTAACATATGGAACTCTGTTGTGGAATGTTGCCATTCTCACATATAGCTCTTTGAATTTTCTGGAAGTACATGCGGTTTATTTGTTGGAGATAAGTCCCGAGTCACCTTCACAGCACTCCGCGGGCTTGTCCGCTTTAAGCGGATTCAGTGTGTTGGGTGCAATCCCCTTGTATGCATGATTGCCTATGTCCACATTCATGAAAACTTATGTAGGAAAAGGATAAGTTAGGCATTCGCAGCTGAGATAGAGAATCATCACAGGAATTCAACTGCGCCTCAGAAGAAGTATATACTGGCTTTCGATTCTAGTTTTTTTTGCCTACAAGGAAACATCGAGAAAAATTAGCGGGTTATTAGAGGTGGGCAGTGCAGTGGTAGTGGTGTCGATTATCACGAACACGATGCAGATCCGACCCTGCACCGAGCCGACCAAGCTATCCATCCCTTCGTCATCGGCAAATTGCTACCAAACTTTTCTGGGAATGGTCCCTCTACAGTTTAAGTGGAAAACGCTCTAGTCTAGCCATTTCACGATTACAGGGAGAATCGATTCGACCAGCACTCAAAAACACCTACGGCGAAAGATTAATCCTCAATCAGCAGCCGGAGTCAAACGTAAACGTTGGAAGACCTTCATGCATGGTGGATGCAAGGAAAGGAATAGGATGCAGAAGTGCTGAGATCCGCAAAGTAGATGTGAAAGGCGAGTTGTGCAAAATAAATAATAAACATATTACTACTACTATTATTAACGGGCGCGTGCGGCGCAGTGGTCGGAGGAGCCATGCAACACACACGTGGAATCGATCCCAGCGCCCATGGCCCACCAAGCCCTCCATCTCTGCGGGGTCGGCAAATTATTACCAAACATGTTTGGAAGGATAGCAGCACTGGCTCGATACACCGGCAGGCTACTGCGAGTCATTGTAAAGGCCGGATATGCATTCAATCACCTCCAACGATGCTTAATGAAGTCGAATGCATGGCGCATCCCTCAGGATTGACCAACGCCGAGAGTTCTACCTTTACCCTTTTATTATTATTACCATTTTGTTACTCATTACAAGTTAAATGTTATTGCTTTAAAAATTTATAACGGAAAAGACACTTATGCTTTCACCCAATCTCTTTTAGTTAGAACAAGCAGAAGACTTAACAGTATTTCTTTGGGAAGGTTTCAGAAAAACTTCTTAGAGGTGTAATGCATTTGCGACACCGGTAGCTATCAGTAAATTCATCGTTTTCAATCCAAGGGAAAAAAAAATTCAATCGAGTTTTTTAACCACAATCTGTCCTATCTGCGTTTACAATTCTTATTCTTCTCCTCTCTGTTCTCTGTTCCTTATTTTTCCTATACTAGTTATTTCTAAGAGATCTCTAGTAAAATCATCTGGAAATTATCATCATAATCCTCAGCTGGGGTTAGCGTTATTTTAAAGCTCACCATCGTGCATTTAGCGGAGCATCTAATTCGAGTGTTACCTTCAAGAATACTCACTCGGACTTGAACACCACTTGAGCTGAGTTCTGGATTAGGAGCCTGAAATCGATGAATTTTTTTTCTTGGCATTTCAGAGTAGGAACCTTTCGGATAGTCAAACCTGAACGAAAACGAGGTTTGCATCAAATGGCGAAGCGGCCTTACGCACTGACGACAACCACACATCGCCAGAAGACGGAACTGCTTCAATCTAAACAAAAACGGAGAACGTCGTAATGACAAATTGAGTTCGCTAACAACGTTATTCTCTCAAAAAAATCTAGCAAAGCACGAGACACAATGGCTGCCTGAAGTTTCTAAATAGAATGAGCTCATTCCTTAAACCAATCACTTGTAGAATGTTCTCAGAGTTTATGCAATAATTCATTCATTCCCTTTCGAATATATCTGCATGATGGAAGGTTAAAAAATGTTTCCGCCACTGTAGATCTGTGTGAGCTAATGACATCTTCTTACTTACTCTGATGATTGGCATCTTCAGATGGCCAACACTCACGCATATGAGATCCAATAAAAATTATATATTAAGAGGTTTACGTTAATATGCTGTGGAATTTTTAAGAGGCTGGTCTGAGGTGCTCGTGCAGTACACAGGGGATCAATCCCCAAGCCCCAGGCCCACAAAGCCTTTCCCCTCTCCAGAGTCGGCAGTGTTGTACCAGACTTGCCTGGGAGGATAGATGCACTGGCTCGATAGATCGGTGGGTCACCGCAAGTCATTGTAAAGCCCAGATATGCATTCAATCAGCTCTAACGACACTTAATAAAGTCGAATGCATGGCACGCACTCAACGATTGATCATCACAGTGGAGTTCATCCTTTTTTACACTACTAGAGGCTTTCAGTAAAACGAATTTGAATTCGTCGTCTTCTCTCTTAGCAACTGCGAAGTTGTTAAACAGCATACGTTTACTTCCATACAATAACACACATACAACACAATCGTAGGTTACGTTTCGGCAGAATCGCCTTCTTCAGAGCCTGGAAGGATGCACTAATACGCAGCTCACCAGGTCGAACGCTTCAACAGCACAAACAGAAGGATGAAAATCTGCACGATAATTACAAGATCTACGGCTTCTCGAAAAAAAACCCCATCGCTTTTTTCACCTGTCTTCCACCGAAGAAAAACAGCCGCTCAAAGTCGCATATAGTTGACGACTGCACCTCCCCACATCAACAATCGACACGAAGGTGAGGGGCGAGATCACGCGTAATCTCGAGGCATTCCTCCCTGCTATTCACTGTGGGGTTTTTGGCATTTATCCAAGACGTCCCGAAGAGTTTCCGCGAAGAGGTGTCCTAAGATACCGTGCGAGGATAGCGGCTTTTGTATCAAAATCGTCTCCGCTGCGCTTTTGTATTCAACGCGTCCCTAGTGGCGTGCCTTGTTTTGCTTTTCGTTTGCCATCTAGGTGTTCTTTTGTGCGAATACATAAAAGTCTTCCCGTTTCGCAATATATTCGTCTTTCGTCTTCGCAAGTGCCACAAGAGATCAGGTATATCGTACCTGAACTCATGCAGTCACCGTCCTTGCCATAAAACGAATTTGATTCTCCCTGTATCATATGTCGTCCTGTTGATCGTCGAGTGACTCGAGCAGACGCCAGTAAAGTTGCATTTCTTCATGTCTTGTGCAAGAGTAACCCAAGGTGTTCTGCTCGCTCTAGGCACTCGTTGATATCTTTGTCTTTCTTCTAGGGTGCTTGTCAAGAACTCTGACCATCGAGTTGGTGGTCTTCCTGCAGCACGTTTGATATCTCGAAGAATCCAGCCGCTAACGGTTATTGTCCATCGGTTGTCATTCACGCGCACTACGTACCCGGGGCATATCTTTTATTTTCGACAGTTTGGCTTGGCATAACGTTCTCGAGGGTGGTGGTAAATAATTTTGGGGAGATTGTATCAGCTTACCTAGCCCCTCTTTTCATGTCGGCGTTAATATCGCTGTAGAATGATGATATTGTAGTTATGAAATTTTTGTAAGGCTCACGAAGAATTTTCCTACGCTGAATAGGGACGCCCTGGCCATCCAGGGCTTCCATGACTGCTTGTTTCCTAACCGAGTCAAATGCTCCCATAAAATCGATGAAAATGAAACAGAGCGGTCTCTTGTACTCTCGCAATACTTCAGTGAGTCTTGTTATCGTGTGAATGTGATCCATCGTACTAAATCCTTTTCGAAACGCTGTTTGCTCATGTGGCTGTCCTTCTTCCAGTGTTCTGTCAATCCTGTTTAGGATGACTCGAGTGAAAAGTTGAAAACGAAATGGCATGTCGGAATTCAGAAGGAAGAACCGGTGGCACAACATATCCATCCTGCTTTATTTCATATGAAGGCAGGGAAACGTGGCTAATCAAGAATTCTGAGTAGTAATCGTAAATGACTTTCTCCATTGCGTTTCTGGAAGCTGTAACAGTTCCCTCTAGACGTCGAAGTGCAATCACCTAGGTTTTGTAGTTAGCAGAGCTTCGGTGGTGTTTGCGAATGTTTGTTCCCGCATTTGAAGCTTCGAGCATAGCTTCTGCTCTTCTATCTTCAAGATCCTCTTTTATAGCCTGCCTGCATTGTTTTGCAGGTTCGGACGTGAGTTCATTTTACCAAAGGCTTTTGGCCGAATTGACTCGTAGAATATAATCCGTATAAACGAGAGCGCCCTTACGCATGGATGTGTGGATATGTCCTCCTAAACAGAGAGGAGTCTGCTATTTACACGCAATTCGCCACCTGGTGACGCGCTACGTTGCTTCGTGACTAAGCGCCATAAAATCCCTTTTCAAGGGAGGTCCGTGGGAGAATAATGATTTGCAATGAAAAACAAGGATAAGATAGAAGTGTGAAAACAATGTAAATGTGGCAAAAAGATCGATAGAAATAGCTGAGAGACAGGCGAAACGAAGGACCCGCATGGTGTGGTGGTGAACGCGTTACT